TATATGTTTATTTTATTCAAATATATGGGCATAAATGATTTTCATAGATTTTGTAATCGATTTTTTATCGATTTTGTAATCGATTTAGTTAACGATTTTGTTATCGATATTTTTATCGATTTTGTTATCGATTTTATTATCGCTTTTGTTATCGATATTTTTTTCTTAGTTTGTGCTTTCGTTTTTGACTTGGATATGCTCTTAACCATACCACGTATTCTACGTTTAAATTTAGCGGGTGTATCTCCGATACAGCCTGCAGACCAAGACGAAGGCGCTGGACTGTTCCTTTTTTTTTAATTTTGAATTGTGTCGTTATTGCACGGGACCATCGAAGTGCACAAAATTGGACTATTAATGTTTGAAAAGTCCCCCAATCTGAATCAATGGTAAGAATAAGCGAAATTTCAGTTTAAGTTTAAAAAAAACGCCAATGAATTCACTCACAAATCCATTTTTCAAATTGCTGACAATTATTCGAATTAAGTAGACGAAAGACTAAAGACACCAACTTTATTTTTTTTTTCCACAGAAAATGAAAAATTGCCGAATAACGGAATAGGGTTATCAAATAATCATCCTTAACGTTAAGTTCTTAAAACTTTTGTTCTCGTTTTGTTCTCTAGCAGAACGTTCCACAGACCCTTGTTCTTATTTGATCCTCCTTGAAAACCTCCCCCAAACTTTCGTTCTCATTGGAAACATCCCCGAAAGCTTTGTTCTCATTCTGTTCTTCTTTAGAACGTTCTTGAGAGTTTTGCCCTTTTTGAGAACGTTTCTTAGAGTTTTGTTCGCATGTTGTTCTTTACGAAAACGTTTCTCATTTTGTTCCACTTTAAACTGTTCTCAATACTTTTGTTCTCGTTTGGTTCATTTGCGGGAATGTTCTTGGCATTCCAAAAAAGCCCCGATTTAATTTTTTTTAATTTCCATAACAAAAAATGGGCGAGACCCTTCCGCTTTTCTCAAAACTGGTAATTGGTACTAAAAATCCGGGGTTTTTGAGAAATTTCGAACCTGTACAAAAATACCGATACTCCTACAAAGTTTCAGCAAATTACGACCACTTTCTTTTTCTTCATTTATCCATTTGTGCATCCGCGATGGGGTGGTAGTCCATAGTTTTTAATAAATTAAAAATATTTCATTGTGTTGCGGTAATTTATTATTTTGATTAAATTATTTTTCTGAACAGCATGGAAGCGTTTACTGCTTGGGCGGAATTTCGTCCACCTAAAAATAGAGCAAGATTGACTGAGCTAACATTCGCATATATGTAAATACCCAAAAACATTCAAGTATCGCATCCTTTTATAGAAATCCTTGAATCCTTGAGAAAAGCCAAATTGGAACGGTTAGACGATTCGCATATTTGCTGCTCGGCCACCACCATCTGGCATGCAGATCGCCAATGCAACAGCCGCCCCCTTAATTCCAGCTGAGCATATTCAAGTTTCGCTCTGGGTTACTAATCGAAGCGGAGCGGATTGTAGTCGTTCTAAATGGCATCCGATAGACTAATTGAGTGGCACCCCGTATCTGAAAAGACTACTTAGGTCTTTATTCAGTTAACATATCGACGCCTCCAAACCACAGCATGCTAAGTCAACTTAGATTTAGTCAAAATTAGCATAGTATGGTTTGGAGGCGTCGATATGCAGACTAAATTTTATGACCATCTCAAAACCTAGAATCAGGGCCCGCAGGCGTATTTAGGGGCACCTCGTCATCGGTTTGTTACACATCCAGAGGGGGAAAAAGCGCGCTACAGCGTGCAACGTTAAGCACGGAAACACCAACCTTGAGACACAGCAACGTGCTTTACTAGTATAGAGGCTACTGCAGATAGCATCTTACGTTCTAAAGCGTTAGGCCCAGACGGAACTTCAATACAAATGCTGAAGAAACTAGTTGCCCTAGGAGTTGACTACCTCACCGCAAATACCAACGTATCGCTTAGGTCTATTCCCCTTATTAAACCACAAAGGAAGTCGGGTCCTGAAGAGTTTTACAAGATAATCTTCCTTTCATGCCCGGTGGAAAATACCATTGTCCTTCTAAGCCTGAATAAGCCCTCTGTCTGTCGCAGACAACCAACAATCCGCAAGGCATATAGTACAAGGCATATAGTACAACAACAGCAGTAATTGCCATCATCTCACAGATAAGCGAGGGTCTAAACTAACGTCGACCATATAAAAGGTCGCTCTACACCGCGATAGACATTTCGACAGCTGTCGTCATAGCCAATCACGCGGCGCTCTTTCAGGACATCTTTCATTCGTCCCTTCTACATTGGACATCGTCGGCCGAACTCCGCAAAACTAAGAGTAATCCGCATTGGATTTGACTAGAGGTACCCAATGACGTCATTCTCTGCACGACGCTGTTTAATCTTTACATGGCCAATTTCCCTCCGCCGCCAGATCGAGTTACTTCAGTCACCACAAAAACTAGACTTTACATACCACAGCTTGTGCTCCTTTTCCAAGCACACTATCCCCACTTGTACTTATGTTATATGCTTTGTGTGAGGAACACTTGTTAACAGCAGTTGGGTTGGCAGGAACCAAGGACACATGGAGGAAACATCGACAAACTGCGCAGAACAGTGGTCTACGCTCAGTTACGGCCTACCATCTCATGTCCTCGGAACCTCACCTCCACGAAGACAAACTGGATGCTGGTGGCGAACGTGCACAACACGTAGCTTTCAAAGGAGTTCCATTGTGATACCACCGTGGCAACGAAGACAGCGGTAAGCACAATCGGCCCAAGGTAGACTACCCCACATTTCTCTTACCCCTCCACATCGCGACCAGCCTCTCAAGGTATACGAAAGTAGTAAAACTGAACTGCAACGGCATCCAGAGCAAATCTAAGTCACGCGAAAGGAGGCCAATCGTTCATATTACAGCACACTGTGCAAACTCTCACCCAAACTTTCCGGCGGAACCTTAATTCGGAGATTCGGCAACTGGAAAACCAGCATATGTAAGTGGAAAAAGTAGGAGGAGCATTTGAAGACTTGCAATTTTGCCTCTAGTGTGAGTAAGCTCTGGTCAACCGTGACGTCCTTGTCTAATCCGACGAGACATGACAACAGAGTGAAAACCTCACGCCTCGTTGGATCCGAAGAAATGCGTAAGCTACTTTAGCCGGCACACGGCATGCTTCTGTACATAAGGCCAAGCGTCGTGTGATAAGGAGGCTTCACAAACTGGCCAAAAGCAGTGCACCACTTGCTTTCACCAGCGGTGAAGTCCAGGTGACCAACCGGAAGACGAAAGCCTCCAAAGCCATTGGCCAGAAGAAATTTTAATGCAGATGCTGAAGCATTCGGCTCCGACGGGAAAAGCATGTCACCAAGGTTCTCAGTCTGTCAATGGCCACTCTCATTCATCATTCCTGATGTGTGGAAAGAAATTCTTATCGACCAAGAACGTTCTTTTCTCCGGTCGTGAAGTAACTTTAGGCCTTGCTACTTCCTCATTTCGCATACCACCTGACCCCAGCGAATCTTCAGCTTGACTTCCGTAAAGTGCTCATAACAACAACAGCATTTAACGGCATAAACACTCAAATAACTCGTGGCCTTAACCGTAACCGCCCCTGTGAGGGAACAGTGCTAGTAGCGTTCGACCTGTCTAAAGCTTTTGACACCATCTACATATCATTCTACGCATCTAGAGGCTTCTTCTCTTCCACAGAGACTCAAATTTCGGAAACCTTGTCAGATTTTTTTTTCGAAATCAAACTTCAAATCCTAGAAGAATTAAGCAAGGGATTCACAGGGTGGTGTCCTCTAATCATCTTCTCTTTTTAACTTCTATATCTCGAAGCTTACTCTGCCACCGGAGGAAATTTCCCTGATCGCATACGCTGACGACTGCTCGCTATTGGCGTCCGGGAAAGGAATTGATTACCTCTGCTCAAAAGTAAACGGCTACCTCTCCGAACTTTATCGCTTCTTCACTGCTAGGAGCCTAACCCTCTCCCCGACGGAATCACCTCTTCACCACCTGGACGACTGAGGCCATGCTTCAACTAAGCATTCACGTCGATGGACAACCAATTCCGACGGTGAACAACCCGAACATTTTAACAGCTTGCTTTCCTTCTCCGCGCGCACCACCGCAATTGTCAATAAAGTACAGAGCCGCAACAAGGTCCTCCTATCGCTAGCCGGCAGCACCTGAAACGTTGTTGGCAACATACAAGGCAATTATTGGCCGGCCGGTCCCAAACCCCGTTCGGGAGCAAGACACAATGCTCTGCAAGCAATTCCTAGTAGTCACAGACGTGAGACACCTTCTTGCAGCAGCGCTCTCGCCAAGTGCATATGTATTTAAGTCTAGACTTAGACCGACTCCCGACATGTGACTGTCGTTTTCGATACCCAACCACCTGTCGTAGACAAGACAGGGCTCGCCTGTCTCGGGAGACTCGAAGCACTATAACGCAAACACGGTTCAACTAACACCCCTGTCCCTATATACTAACCCAGTCGAGGTTACACACGTCCTGAGTCTCCCGTTAGTTGAGTTTAACGTCACCGATTGCCAACAACGTACCTACCGACAAGTGATCGACGACATTCGTAGAGTCGTTCCACACCTATAGATAAGAAATCAATCACCAACAATATTGGAGGCTCTGATCTTCGACCACAACGAGGCCCGCGCTATCCCGTCAGGATATTGTAGCCGCCTCAAAAGCTTATTTTCCGGGACCATGCGGAGGCTCCCGCCCGACACCAACCACCTCTTCACAGGCCAGCTCAATTCCACTCAACTAGCACCGCTCTATTTAATCGACCCTGTTGGAACTGCCCGTTTCTTGGGCTTATCGTTAGTTGAGCTTGACGAAAATGATAGATGGATAAACCCAAATAGGCGGGGCGGCTTAGTAGTGCCGCTACAAGTTCGCAGAAAGTGGTAGATGGCGAAGTACAAGTAAAACTTATTTCACCAAAATTTATCAATAATAAAATGCACTTATTCAAATGTTAAGCATCAAACGCCCACACAATTTATTGTAGTTATTATATTGTAATAAGCGAAATATGTTTTATATTTATGGCTGTTTTACGTAATAGGCATGCATGCATTAGATCTCGCAAAATTGTTTAATCTACTTCTGCATACATAAAAATCTTAAAACTAAAAGACACTAGCCAATAGGGTATTCGATTTCTGGTGATGCTGGGAGCCTATCAACTAAACAGAAGAACTAAAATATATTTCGAATGAAAAAATAGACAAAGTTAATGCTAATTTAATTAAGTAAAAAAATGGGATTAGGCTCAACATAACTTATTTCGAATATGAACTTAATTATAATAATACGAGTATACAAAAACTGTTTGTTTAAAGGTTGTACAACATATATGCAGACCTTTGATGGCTTTCCAAATACACGTATGGCAATCATGATCAGGTTACAAATATCGTATGCTATTGTATGCAGGCCGGCACACACTGCAGCAAATATCGTTTTTTTTTGTTTTTATATTTACAATCTAATATCCTTTGTACAACAAAGGTGAGAAAATATTTTTTTTTTTGTTCTTTTCCACTTAGCTATTTTTTCTTTGCAAACAGCCTCCGCAATTGTTGGCAGAACTGGTTTTTGATGAGCAACGTTTGTTCTAGCAAAACTTTAGCTTTGTTGCGAGCACCTAAGATCTTAACAACTAGCAAAAAGTGGTGGTGGTTTCTAGTCCTGCTGAATTGATAATTCGGATGCATGCCTACTGCTGTATCGGACGACGGAAGAGTAAAATGTGCGGTTCAGGTTTATGTATCATGTAGTGAATCCAGCCGCGCGACTGTTGGACTCCAATCGATCTCCACTCCGCCTCAGTCATCAAATGTGTTTTTGGCACCAATTTAGAAAGCTCCTTTGGCAGCACAACATGTCTAAATATGCAGGAGGAAATAAGCTTAAACAAATACTCGAATAAAAGTGCACCTAACCTTACCTGTATTCGAATTTCTCATCGTAGTATTTGTCAGAATAGTAAATGTCCTTATTCATGGCTGTGGGTTTCCGACTTTTCTAGATGTTGGAATTTGGCAATGTTCTTTGGCGTGTTTTGCACCTGGTGCAGCTGTTCGGCAACCTGTAGATCCTATTTGGAAATGTTTTAAGCAATATTGGGAGATTTGGGTTGAAAAATCTTGATTTGTTTGAAGGTTAGGTCCACCGAGATTTTATGATAGTTGTAATTTTCAAACTCCTGGTTAATTTTAATTGTTTTATAAAAATTCTCGACAATTTCGCACGATGAATCTCACACAAACCTTTCTTCCTCTTGTTCAAAAATTGATTGAATTCCGCAAGGCGCAAAACTAGCGTCGATCGTTTTATTTTCCGTTTAAACTTTTTCTTTCACTTTCGCAAGGAAATGTCGAATTTGTTAGAGCGAGATAACCATCGGCATAATTTTGCTTACCAGTGACATCTGGCGGCGAAATTTTGCGATAAATTTAGTTCCGTTCACAGATGTGGTTCACAGGCAGGGTTGCAATAAATCCAAACAGATAGTCTTACCAGAGAACGTTTATAACAGAGAACGTATATTTATAGAGAAGGTCCAAGAACTGTGAATGCCACATCAGAGAACGTATATTTATAGAGAAGGTCCAAGAACGGATCAGCGTGGAAACTGTCAAATACCAACAAAACTGGCGAAGCGCATTTTAAGAGCGGCAAGCCAGAGACAATCGAATTTTAACAGAGCCCAGCCAGAAGCAAAATAAATTTAACAGAAATTGTCTCATCAAAGCAAATGCATGTTTTTCTTGTTAGACGCGAAATGCTGACGGCTTTTTACGTTTTTACAAAGCTTTTATTGTTCTTTAAATTGGTTAATTATTTAAAATAAATGCATGCATAGGTCGAAATATGTAATATGTACATATTGTGTACATGCATATGTATGCGAGAGATACAATTTTGTGAATCTAAAAAGTGAAAGTTATGCAAATATGTAGTATGCAATTGGCAAATTCGTGGGTGATTTGCCGTCGGCATTTGGGTTGAAAAAATCGACTTTTACTTTTTTACCGATTCATATGGTAGATGCTACGCTATTTTCAATGCAACAAACCACAGTTTTCTAGCTGCCTTAGTTTTTCCCCAAATTCACTTTAAAGATGGACACGTTGACCAAAAAACGCAAATGCGCACTGTTTGGTGATTTGGTGTCGGCATTAAAAGCGAAGCAAATCGGTTTTTATATATTTAACGATTCTAATG